TTTTGTCAGAAATACCTTTGAAAATTTTTAAATAAATGTATTTGGTAGAGCAAACAGTTTTCTACAAAATGAGATGTTCCGCAGCTATGAGCGGATCTAGATAATCGATGTATAGCAATTTTCCCCGATACCCCAACACTTAAAAACTGATGTATGCCTGATAACGACCACACTGATTTCAAATATGACATTGGCAGATTCCAAATTTTTCCAAGCCACTTGTGATTATGAATAGTTTTAAATATGCGGCCTGAATTCCTAACGATTAATCAGGTTGCAAAAATATGGAAAATTTTCTGTTCGCCTTTAGAATGAATTAGTGCCGCTGATTACGTTGTGTCTCACCTGAATCATAGAAAAATTGTGATAATGAATATGTCTTTTCTCTGATTAAGCGGCAGGACGACGATTAATAAGTGAATAGGTGACCACAACTGAAGATCGAATTACCGAAAAGCAGTCTCGAGGACAGCACGCATAGTAAGTAAAAACAGTTCAAGTTTCCAAGCCTTGAGCTCTTCTGTAACGAAAAAGTAATCATAAAACAAAATTTAGTTAGTTCCACCAAGTCGAGCTTAAAATATTAAAACCAAAGTTTTTAATCTTTATCCTGACTGATACAGCAAATAGATATCGTTGATTCAATCCCTTTGTATAATGGTCTAGGTCAAGACCTAGCTGACCCTACCATTGGCATTAATAGAACTTGGCCAGTCAAAACTCATTTGTCAAAGAGCTAAAGTAGAATAAATTAGTTAGATCAAACTGAAATTATAAAAATGGGCTATTTCATCTAGTATATTTCCACGAAGGTTTTGGATTTAGTTCTGAAAACAAACATTGTCACGAGACTAAGCGTAACTTAGGGTTATTTCTAACATTCTTCAACCTGATATTTGAGGGATACAGAGGTTGCACTCGAAGATCTGTGATTTGTGTAGGAAAGCAGAGGAGAGTCTAGTAGTTCGAACCGCCTTACCGAACTTTGAAATTCACTCGTTTTTTGTGTGCCAGTAACGTCATAAATTTTGTGCGCGGAAAACACCATAATAAACTGAAATATAACCTCAATTTTTTCATAGATGCACGTCCTAAAATGTCTTCTGTCGAACACCAAAAACTGCAAGTCTTTGTCACTTTTTAATCAAATGTTATTCAAAAAGCAACGAGATACACTACATTTGGACGGCGCTACTACTGCTATCTTTTTGATAAACACGTTTTTTAAATTTCCACATTATTTGTTAATATCTCTAACAAATAATGTGGAAATTTGAAAAACGTGTTTATCAAAAAGATAGCAGTAGTAGCGCCGTCAAAATGTAGTGAAGCATTTTTATGCAAAACCAATGTGATATTCGGAATCTACGAGAAAAATTGCATCGAATGATATATAATTCGACGCGTTTTGGAAAAAAAAGTTTTCGTCCTAAATTTTAGGCAAAACATCTCAGGCAAAAATTTCGACGGGAACTTTTTGTCTGCCTTCAAGACGACACTTAGGTGAACACCGTTTCTTGACATGCCCGATCCGAATATCGCGGTCTCCCAGCTTGAATCGTTGCGAGGAAAAAGTAGGCAGTTTTCATATGTGCTTTGTTGGTCATTTCCTTTATAAGAGATAAAGGAGAGATCCTTGAATTTTGTTTCAATTTCTCGAACAAAATATAAGTCACAGAGAGACGTTTTCAAACGTTCTTCAGGTATAAAACAATCTAACTGATGCCAAGCAAAACGAGACAAGAACTAAAAGGAAGCATAATTCGTCTTATGACCATTTTCTTCTAAATCTGTACAAGATATGTCTTAGATCTTTCAGAAATTTACAAAAAAACCATGATGCATCAGAGTGAATAAAGCTCGAATAAATATCGAAATAGTTTCTTCTTACCATTAATATGTTAACTCTGTTGTATCTATATATCTATAACTCTTGAACACATGTCTTCTTAACCATAATCCAATGTGATCATACTGTATTGCAATAAATGTACACAATTTTATGGGGAAATACATTCACATCTAATATGATAAATAAGTAAAACAAGTTTTATTGAATAAACTTAAAGAAGTTGAATATACAATTCATAATAAAAATCTTATACTATTTTATGAATATAATATTTAATATGAATCGAATAATATATAAAAATAGAATGTAGTACATCCTTTTTACCATCTTGTTAATATGTTTAGTCAAAAATTCTCTCACAATACTAGTTAAATTTAGAAATATTATTAGAAACATTTTATTTTTGAATATTATCAATTAGTCTAATAAATTTATCTATTTTAAAATCCAATAATTGATTCTCTCATTACACAATTGTATCTTTGTTTATACAAGTTAATATTAATTTTTTGAAAAAATAAAACTATCTTAAAAATTAAGTTTTTTTTTTTTTTTTTTTTGTTTTGATAAATCTTCCTGTACCTGTGTAATATAAAAATAATGGACTATATACACTATCTTATCATATTACATACACCTGAAAATATTCCGAGAGCAAATAAATAAATGAAAAATTGTTAAAATATTCATTTCTTTTGTTCTGGTTGAAAAAATTAGTAAAATATGCCAAAATTAGATCGAAAGAATCTTTTTGTAGAAGATATAAATACAAAACCTTCTATAATTAGATCATTTTGTAATACTCAATCTCCACGTCTATTCTACATTTTATTTGGAGTTATTATTTTATTCTCTATTATAATTCTTGGTTTAATTGTCACATTAATAATTAAACCAAAATCAAAGTCAAATAGTAGTTCAAATGAAAAACATGAAAGTATTTGTCTATCGAATGGATGTGTTATTGGTTCAGCTCATCAAAATTTATTTACAGACTCATTGATAAAACCATGTGACAATTTTTTTAAATATGCATGTGGAAATTGGATAAAAACACATAATTATAAATCATTTGAAGTTGAAAAAACAATTATTAATGATATTATTAATAGAATTGATAATGAAATTGAAACACTCTTAGATGCACCAATATTACGAAATATTCCAACATCTTGGGAATATAAAATTAAGGTGATAAATAGATTATTTAACTATTAAAATATTTGACTTGTATTTTTCTCTACATATATATATATATATATCTTTTTTTAGACCTATTATCAAGAATGTCGCGATGACTATAGTCGAGTTAGTGATGGTGGAAATATGATAGCTAGTTTGATTCAAGATGCGTCAACAATCAAAGGATGGTATTTATTTGATGGTGAAGATGGTACCACATTAATAAATAATAATCAAACACTCTATGAACAATTTGAACATATTCAAACAGATTTAGGAGCTCATGCCATATTTAGTATAAGAACAAAAGATGATGAATTTCACAAAAGTATGAAAAGACTTGAAGTATGTTTATTATTAGAATGTAAAATTTTAACTTTATTTTATTCTAACAACTATTTATTTTTTAAAGTTATATCCAAGTGGATTAAGTATGGAATATATAAATTATGTTTCGAATGATGATGTCTCAAATAAGGTAAAATGAATGAATTAATTTAAGTATAAATTCGAATTGATCTCGAACAAAACAGACAATATTTTCTTATCTATGTGTATTCTAATTAAACTTCTTGTAGAAAATGTCACAAGATGTTGGATTTTTTGAGTCTTTATTCTAGATTTTGGTTAAGATTTTATGCAAAAGACATTTCAAGACATTCAATAGAAAATTTTCTTTAGATTTTGTTTTTATTTATGACAATCATAGCCATCAGATATACCTCCACTGAGAATCATAGGCTCTTCTTAAAAACAATAATATTCAAAAAGGAAAAACGATTCGAAACTATTCTAAGAATGAAAATAGTCGTACTGTAAACACAAACGGCGATTCAAGACGTTCAAGATCTTGAATTCTTGAAATTTCTTTCACTTCTTATGTTTTTCTTACCAAGATCTTGATTTAAAAATGTTTCACTAAAGAAATCTTTTACCTCTTGACTCTTTTTATTAATAAATGACTTTAATTTTCTTTTTAGCGTAAAACTGCTTATTTTGAATATATCGTTGAAGTTCTGGCTACACTTGCTCAAGATGCCGGTGTACATGATATGTTTCTAAACCAGCGTATACAAACAGTAGCTACTGATGTTTTAGATATTGAAACACAACTGGCTTACGTAATGAGAAATTATTATGATGAATGAGGTGTTTCTTTTTTGTATTATTTATGTATGTTTTTGTTTTCTTCTCTAGATTCTTCAAAAAACAACAGGTTCAAATGGTGTTGAAGAAAAACCATTTTTATTAACATTACAAGAGATAACAAATCAATTTTCGGTATTTAAACGTTTCTATTTATGATGTTTATGTTCTGATGATTTCTATTTCGATATTTTCTTTTGCAGTTTGATTTTACACGATTAATGAATCAGGCTTTGATAGGACCGGTTATTTTAGATTCATCAACAAATGTTTATGTGACGAATCCAGGCTATTTTAACGATGCATTTAAACTGTTGCAACAAATAGATAACAAGTATATTTTTTACCCTCAAAATCCACTATTATCCATTTCAAAATAGAATGTCATCGATTGTTGTTTGAATAACTTTCGAACGAAAAGAGCTAGAGAGTAGAGTTATGGTGTTCATTTTTTTGTACGGAAATGTTTGATCTATATGAGTTTGAAAACCTCGGGTTTGCAGGTGTTGTATCTTACATGTGAAAAAAGAAGAGGTTACTGCTCAGTTCCCAAGCCAAAATAATTTTTTCACTCAAACTACATGATTGAATACCTTAAAGTGTCTTTTACAAACCTACGCAACTCCGAGGTTGCTACCTATCAGTCTTTTGGATCTACGGCAATTTTGCTGGGACCTAGCTATCTCAGTCCGATTAGATCTGACAACTTTAGAGCCGTCTCCAAACATGGATTATCGACTATGCTAGATCTCAGGGCACTGTCAGTTTTCAAAATAAAATGGAAGAACCGAGTGAAAACCTATACTAGGTGAAATTTTCCATTCTTGACTATTTTCATCAAAAATTAAAAAATTCATAGGTCAAAAACTATCCAAAAAAAACATCCGGTTTGGGAAGTCTTTCCAGAAACCTTCGAAACCAAGACAATATTTTTTAGTGATCTTAAGTACAGAATCACACTGAGTGGATAAAATAGAGTAGATGTTGATACTCTGAAGTAGTTTAGATGGCTTTTGTCCGAGTTATGAATTATTTAATTTTGATGAAAATAGTCAAGAATGGAAAATTTCACCTAGTATAGGTTTTCACTCGGTTCTTCCATTTTATTTTGAAAACTAACAGTGCCCTGAGATCTAGCATAGTCGATAATCCATGTTTGGAGACGGCTCTAAAGTTGTCCGACCTAATCGGACTGAGATAGCTAGGTCCCAGCAAAATTGCGGTAGATCCAAAAGACTGATAGGTAGCAACCTCGGAGTTGCGTAAGTTTGTAAAAGACACTTTGAGCTATTCAACCATGTAGTTTAAGTGAAAAAATTATTTTGACTTGGGAACTGAGCAGTAACCTCTTCTTTTTTCACATGTAAGATACAACACCTGCAAACCCGAGGTTTTCAAACTCATATAGATCAAACATTTCCGTACAAAAAAATGAACACCATAACTCTCTAGCTCTTTTTGTTCGAAAGTTATTCAAACAACAACCGATGATATTCTATTTTGAAATGGATAATAGTTTCTTTGTCATCATTTAATTCATCATTTTAGTCGAAAAATTCACAATTATATGCGTTGGCGTTTAGTTCAAAAGTATATTGACGATTTAGGTTATCAATATATACATGCTAATCGTGTATTCATTGAAAAATTCTATGGTTATCCATTACATATGACAAACGAAGATTATTGTACTCGAGAAACAATAGAAAAATTTCCATTAGCTGTTATTCGTTTATATTCTAATTTTAGTTTTCATTCAGACAATACAGAAATCGTATGTCTTAAGCTAGTTCTTTTATATGTATACAAATATTTTTTTTTATTCGTTTAAATAGGTAAACAAAATATTAGGATATTTAATAGATTCATTGTCAAAATATATAACTGACATTTCATGGATGGATGAACAAACAAAACAAATTGCAAATGAAAAAATAAAACAATTACAAATATCTGTTGGTTATACAGACATAGCTTCAAACGATGATAAATTAGACGCATTTTATGAAAAAGTAATTATTTTTAGAATTTTGAATACGTAATTTTAGGAAAGAAAAGGTTTATTTTTTAAAATCTGATCGATTGTTTTTATATTTCACGATTGACTGATAAGATTAGAATAATTTTATTTTACCTTTTTTAAGTTAATGATTACTGCAGATTCACACTTCCATAATGCTCATACCTTCGTGGATTTTCGAAAAACGTTATTAGCTGATGCCTTGCTAAATCCTGACAAACTTGATCACTGGGATACATTTGAACAACGAAAAAAATTATTTGATTATGTACCAGTACTAAATACAATCTTTGTTATTTCAAAAACAATGCAACAACCACTTGTTAATCATCGATGGCCTCCATCTCTAAATTTTGGAAGTATCGGTGTTTTATTAGCCGAAAAAGTTTTTTCAGTAATCGATGTAATCGAAGGTAACAATGATCAGTTGTAAATTCATCTTTATTAATTATACTGTATTTTTATAGGTAATTCTCATTTACCAAATGGAACAAATTTCGATTGGTGGTCAACAAATTCATTACAATTATTTAACCAAAGTCGACAATGTATAACCAATTATTATACTAACGTTATCAAAAGTCTTTCCTATTCTCTTAATGGGATACCAGTAACGGTTGAACTTAAAGGTGAACCATTTTCTCCTATTACTCTACGACAAATAGGTGCATTGAGACTAGCACATATGGCATTAAACAATTATATGAACAATAATACAGAATATTCAAAAAATCAAATATCACCAGGCGGAAATTTAACAACTGATCAACAATTTTTTCTTGCTTATGCACAAACACAATGTTTTAAACGAAATGATTTAGTTCAAATAGTTAAAACGCAACTTGGTATTTATGACGAAGAAACGGCTCTCAATACAGCACTAAAACACATGAGTGAATTTAAAAATACATTTAATTGTTCATCAACAGAACCAATGAATGCTGAAAATAAATGTTTTGAAACATCAACCAGAAAATAATCGTTGTACATATACTATGGTTTATGTTATTTTAAAACTTTAAAACTGTTGACAAAATGCATATGATGTTAGAAAATAATAAAGAATTCTACAACTTAGCATAGTTCATAGATCTCAAAATACAGTTAAGACACTTGAAACGTTTAGACAATCTAATACTTATAATCTATTTGCTTGTTAACAAGACTAGAAATGTAATTGTCTTTCTTCATTAATCTTCAAGATTCCCAAATGTCAGAAACCATCGTATTATGATCGAATGATTATAGGTGAAGATCTGTGATTTACACAAGACTATAGAGTAGAAGACGTTGTTTCAACATATTTTAAAGTTAGATGTTCCTATGAAAATTTAAAGACACGGCAGCTTCGTTTTTCATAATATTTATATCGTTTGATGACAAATGTGAATAATATTGTACAAAGAGCTCAACTAAATTCATTATTTTATTTAATAATCTAGAAGTTTTCAACTCAGACTAAAGTCATCATCAGCCACATAACATGATATTTTAAATACAGCAAGGGCAAGAATCACAACAGATGTCTATTGCAGTGTTTAAAAAAAAGCGTTGTCCTAGGGAACAAAAGTGTGAAAACTTTCTTTCTGGATTCATTTCTTAATTTAAATTAATTTTATTAATAAATTTTTATTCTCTGCTTTCGAATCACCGATTCACCATTAGAGTTAGAATATTAAAAGTCATTGTGTGACACAATGTGAAAAAAACAGCCATTTTGTTCCCAAAATCTCTTTAAACTTAAAACTTCGTTTTCCCTCTGATGAAAGAAACTCCTGAACGTTTTCGAAAAAGGCACAATTTTTACAATGAGACATACATATGCAGCATACAACAAGATCAGTTACCAAATGTTAATTTTCAAATGGTCATTTTAGTTTAGTTTAAAATTTATTTATCATTTCGAAAAAAGAACAGAGAAAAACTACCATAAAAAGAAAAAGTAAACATGAGTATTAGGCAATTTTGCTTCAGATGCACACAAAATCGGCTAATCATTATATTCCCTAGTCATCGATTCTTATATAAGCATATACCAGAAACGTCTAACTCTCTTACCAGTGTCTTACAAGATTCTTATTGGAATCTTATCACTTTCTTATATAAGATTATCTAAGATTTCCCATCGACGGTCGTAAGTCTCTTATAAAAATCTTATAAGATTTCCATAAGAGGTTCGTAAGAAATTGATAAGAAGTACCAAAGTTCTTATGAAGTTTTCCAGCCAATAGAAGCAACTTAATCATAACAGAAATCAATAAAACCAACTTATAAGCCGCTCAGGTAAGCAAAAGACAGGTGAAATGATTAGTCTTTTTTCTTAGTCTGAACGACCGTCTCGACCAGTCTTTATGACAAAAACGACCCCGTCATGACTAGTCCAGAATTTGAACTGTCACCCATACACATCTGGACTGTACGGCGGACTGAAGTCAGCTAACACGTCCCGACTAGTCTTTACAACAAAAACGACCCTGTCATGATAACTAGTCCAAAATTTTAACGGTTAATTAAAAGAAAACCGTCCGTAGTAGTGTCGCTGACTAGTCTGCCAAGCTAAATACTGACGACGTCTCGGCTAGTCTAAATGAAAGAAAGATAGAGAACTAGTAATATAACTGGCAATTGATCCTATTCTTAACTGAGCGACCGATAAAGGTGAAGTCCGCATAAGAACGGAAATCGGCCCACTAACAATAACCGCTCCAATCGGTCCAAACCTCATCAGAATCACATCCAATTATGATATTCAATGATTTCGACCCTTCCGAGCGCTTTTA